TTGCTGAACAGCGTTCCGTTACCTGGACACACCACAGTGCGTTCACCTTTCAACTGGCTGACGGGAGCTTGAGTCACTGTCAGCCTTCGGTGATGAACCGGAGTGAAGCTTTAACAGACACCGTGTGCAGGTGTTCCGTGCAGGTGCCGCTGCTCTTCTCTTGGATAAACACCTGGGCGCGGGATGGTGGGTCCTGTGGTGAGGCCATATTTAAAACACCACAAAAAACTGCTCTTTGCTTTTTATAAAGGTAATTTGACACCCATTTCTTTATTTTACCCTAATTTCAGTCTAGTTCTAGCCGTGTCCCATGTCATTGTTGGAGGGACCTTTCGGCCAATAGAGCGTTAACTCCAAGTGTGACACAAAAGCATGGAAGGGCCTCCCCTCCCCGGGTCACGAAGAAGCATTTTTAGAGGGCTGAGCACCACACCCCGAGACGGGCGTGGCCGTGGGTCACCTGCGGCCTGTTGCTCTGTTTTGCTGGGGGCCCTCTCTGAACATCGGTCATCAGCCCTCGGATGTGGGGGACTGGCGTATCCGCACTGCAGGGTCGCTCCGGAGACTGTGTGGGGTGATGTCCACGTCTCCCTCGTAAGAGGCACTGCTGTCACCCCCATCGGAGTGACTGCATGTGCAAAGGCGAGGGCTAGTCCTAAGCAACAGGCGGTGCCACGCTGCGGGTGATTTAGGGCTCGTTAGGAACTCCGGGCTGTAAATTTGTCACCAGGGACAAAGGAGTTTGGTTTGGCTGTCATGTCCATGATGTGGGAGTTTTTAAGACTGTTATTCTTATACTTTGCCACAGGTTAGCATTTTTGTACTTAAGACTGAGTCTTTTCTGTCCCTGAAAACGCTGCTGTCACATAGAAGGTAATAACTATTCACATGTAAGTTATACCTTACGTAACATGATAGGCCGAGGCAAGGGCCCCTGGGGACTTAACTTCTGAGGGATTAATATTTTTCTGTAGCTCCACTTAAGGTATTCTTAACTGAAAACATCGAGAATAGGGTTTTAACTTTGCTATTTTAAGATTATTTTCACTCCTTTACTGGCAGGCATTTAACTCAGGAAAAACGTTCATTAATTGGGTTACACTGACATCTGCTGGTAAAGCAGTGAATTCCAGAAAACACCATGTTACAAATGTCAATAGAATCAGTTTTAGACATTAAAGCTCGTCCTTGTATTCGGGGTTTAAAAAGTGGTCGGCTGTGCCTGGCCTTTCTGACTCGCCGTTCCACGCGGCTCGAGTGGGCTGTGGGCTGGCCGAGAGTGTCCCTGGGGTTTCATCGGCGCTGGTGGCAATAGGGGCTTGGCTACGAAGCAGAACTTCGTAACCTTTAGCATCGTCTTTAGAATCGTAACCTCTGCGGGTTGGCGTTTCCAATGAACGATGTCACCATCGTCATCCGTCTCCTTTATTGTCCCATCATCGTCATGCCTTTCTGTCTTAAAACTGCCCGACGGTAATGATGTTGATTAAGTTAGTCTTCGCTTTGAGGGAGGACTCTCGGGAAATTGGGTTTTGGGTCAGGGGGAGGGAGTGAGCTCAGCCGAGCTGGACTTGTGTGTTTGTCAAGAGGCGGGACCTGGCTCCTTTAAAGCCCGCCAATTTGAAGAATTTTACAAGTGGAAAGAAACTTACTGATCATTTAGCTCACCCCTCCCTTGTGTAGATGGGGCAGCTGAGACCCAGACCAATTTACATAACTTATTCCCTAGCTGATAGGACACTAGTGTGTCCTCATTTTCCCCTAACAGGGTCCTTGCCTGTATAAAAGCTGTCTTCGCTAGCTTTTTGTTAAGTTTCTCATTTAAAGCAAAACTACTTGAACACACATACACAGGGTTTGGGGGTCTCTATCTAGCTCACCTTCACTCAACCTCTGACTTTAACCAGAAACGTGTCACCGAAGTGCGTGCTATACTATGTAACACCGCTGTGCGGCGCGGCAGAGACACGCGGGTTCACAGGTCCCACCCAGGTGCTGCAGCCCCACGCCGGCTCGTACAGATGCGAAAGCGGAAGGAGGCACAAAAGGATCGAGAGCGAGAAACAAGCCTGAGCCAGGGAAATGCTTGGCTCTCAGATCAGATTTGGAGTCACCGAAGTACACGGGCGATAATCACTGCAACACACGTCCGCACGTTCCGCCCTTCAAAATCAAAGGCCGCCAGTGACCTTGCAGGGCACGTGCGTGATCTCCACCTGGCAGACAAGGAAGTAGGCGGAGCCAGGGTTCAGTGCAGGTCCCCTGTGTACTGGATGTTCTTCGCATTCCATCGCAGTAAGAGTGTTTTTGAACATATTGGGGAGGGACGGAGCAGAAAGGAAAAACGACTCATGGACGCACGCCACACTGGGGGCAGGGGGGCGTCTAGGGCCCTAAATGTAAAGAAAAAAAATACAATGCGTAAATAAAAATAAAATTCATATGCCTCTAAAAATATTAGAGCTTTATATGGAGTCTTCATAAAAGGAGGAGTGAGGAGAAGGGGGGAGAGAGGGGCAGAGGGAGACAGAGATGGAGAGAGAAGCGGAAGGTGGACAAACCCTAGCGGAACAGCAAGAACAGGCTTCTGCAGCAGCATGGGGTAGAGGAGGGTCCCATCTCACCACTTATGGCCCCCCACCGGCCCAGCACCAGCCTGGCACCCAGTGAGACCTGGCCTCCCCGCATCCCTCCTCCACCCCACTGTTACCCCCTTCCCCCGCTCCATCCCTTCCTCTACCTCCTACCCTCCCACGGTCACCAAAGGCACGCGTGGGTGCATGCACGTAAATGTACACACATGCCCACATGCACACACCTGATCTTGGAGCCTAAGCCCAGGTCTCTGCAAAAGGAACAAGTGTGAACTTCTCTTTTTTTGTGTGTGCTTTCGAATTTCTTATTCCTGAGACCAGAAGAGGGTCACTCCTTGACTGAACTCAAGCCTGAGCAAAGTTTCTAGGAGCAGTTTAAATCTTCCCGATTTCTGCTCTCCAGTCTTTGATTCGACAGCTGATTGTCTTTTCAGCCTTTTTAACACAGTTCCTGGCATGGCCCGGACACTTCCAAACCCCATGTCATCCGAGCAGTTTGTTCGTGGGAAAGAGAGAAAACGTGAGGTGCTACGCAAGGAAGGCAAGTCTGATGGGAAACGGTGCCCTGAGATGTGGTAGCAGGGTAGCTATGGCAACGCGCCTGGAGGCGTGTGGCAACAGGTATCAGGAACACGGAAAACACGTGTGACAGTCGACACAGCCAGGCACTGAAGGTCTTGGGCTGGACACTCACCCACCTGCTTCACCAGTAAGAAATTATCAAATAAAATGGTAAGATGATCGATTGCATAGATGATGGCTTATCTGGCCAATGAAATACCAGACAAACCATGCTCTTAAAATATATGCCTGGAAAAGTCGAGAGGAAGAGACACAAAGATACATGTTCAGCCGTTGTTAATGTGGTTTGGGGCTTTAATTTCTTCTTCACGCTGTTCTGAGTATGACGAAATTGCTAGAATATGTACGTTGTCACGTTTTAATAAGAAAAAGGGCTCTTGAAATAAAAAAAATGAAACAAAAATTGTGATGGTTCTCTGCCCACTGTGATGTAGGAGCAGTTTCCTGAATATGTCGCCTGCTGAGTCCAAGGGCTCACTCACCCAGGTGCCGAGTTGTACAATTAACTGTACCTGTTATCAATGACACATCCCAGCAGATTCATGACCATTTTATTTATTTTTTAAAAGATTTTATTTATCTTTAGAGGGGAAGGGAAGGAGAGAGGGAGAGAAACATCAATGTATGGTTGCCTGTAGTGGGTCCCCTGCTGGGAACTGGCCTGCAACCCAGGCACGTGCCCTGACTGGGAACCGAACCATGATCCTTTGGCTTGCAGGCCCGCACTCAATCCACTGAGACACACCAGCCAGGGCTCATGACCATTTTAAATGGACAAGGCATTGAAGGCAAGGCTACTTTCACAGACACTGTCTCCCCTGGGTGGACATGACTCTCATTTTGGCAGATGAGGAAACTGAGGCTCTAAGAAGCTGAGTACACATGACGTCTAGGAAGCGTAGGAGACCCCAGTGTCCGGCCGGAACCCGTAACCCTAAGCCGCCTTCTCCCCTGATGCAGTTTGAGGCCTGAGCTTAATAAGAGGCATGCAGGGAAAGGAGTTTCAGCGAAATTCTAGCCACAATGCACATGTCTTTGTAATACAGACTGTACTTCACTGTGCTTTCATATTTGCTCTCTAATGTCTGGAAAACATGATACAGTTAGCTTACGTGGTGCTGAAGACAAGTTCATGAACACAAAGTGGGGGGAAACCTGGAGGATCTGCACACTCGGGAATGTGGCTAACGCGTGTGCCTCATATTAGAACGCTCCGTGGAAATGTGCAAAAACACCGCAGAAATGCGGGTCGGCTTCATTAGCACGGAACACCTGAGTGCTAACATGCCACTTTATTATCTACCTGACAGTGCAAACCCCAGGAGGCCACGAATCACTACCGAGTTCGAGCAGAGCAGAGAATTCACCTGACGGGTTTTCAGTGGGGTCTGTGTCCTGCTTATTTCACCCGACTGCATTAAGACACGCACACGTGTGCCAAGGCAAAGAGACAACGTTTGCTGAACCAACGACACAAGGACCTCATTGTTGCAACATAAACCGGGGTTAGGATGATATTTTCACAGCTTTGCAGTTGTGGGAATACAACGGCATTATGGGAGGCAGGGGTGGAGGCGGAAGAGAGGGAGGGGCGGCTGGGAGACAGGGGCCTCTGTGTTCCTCGCTGCCGGAGGGGAGCAAGCACCAAGCCAGCCCGCGGAGCACAGGTCCTGGCCCACAGAACAAAGAGCAGGCAACGTGAGGGCGCCCCAGCGTACACTCCCCACAGCACTCCTCCACGACCACGCAGACCTCCCGTTCGTTCCTGTATCCGCGTAACCCAAATTTCACAATGGTGAACAGTGCCCTAGATCTTTTTGGGGGTGGGGGGGGGGAGTTCTGAATGCCAGGAATCGACTGTGTGTATACTACACACAACTCTTTAGCATCCAAGAGATAACCTATGTCCCCAAAATAAAGATCCTTTGGTACTAAGGGTTTTAATTTTGCCAGTTCTCACTCAACATTCCCTCAGATGTTATTTTGTACACATTTCTTAAACAATACACATGTTATGGAAGACATAAGGACTAATGTGCAATCTCAAGGTCCGATTCAGGGACAAAGATGCACTACTTGAACCCAGTTGAGCAGTGAGTTGCATAAAATCATCAGCTGCCCTTCCCAGTGACCCACGCAGTCAATGCCCAGGAAGACCAAGCACAACACTGGACGTTTTCCATCTGTTAAACGGAGCCTCACAGTCACGACAGACTGAGGGACAGAGAAAAGCATGGGGCTGCATCGAAACTGGGCCGGGCCGGTCGGGAGGGCCGCGGGGAAGCACCGAGTCTCGGCTCTGATACGGGAGCGAGACCAGTCTCTCCTCACATGGCTGTTACAAAGGGGCACTTCAGGGTTCCAGTGAAAGTGAGCATCCTTCAAGGAGAAAGCGGAGAAGCGCTTCCCTGCAGGTTACGACCCTGTAAACAGCTTGCTCCGGGTCCTCAAGGCAAAGGCCGGGAGTCCGAGAAATCAAAGGACTGTCTCCGCACGCAAACGATCAAGCTGCCCAGCTAGGAGTTATATTTCTGGATGAAGACCCCTTGCAAGAAGATCCCCCAGCTCCTTGGTTTTTGAAGTTCATGTGACTTTTCTATCCTAGAACCACTGTACGTTTTTTTCCTTCGTTGAACTTTGGATAAAAGTGCATCGTGTTGCTTAAAAATACAAAACAGTCAACCACGAGGAGCTGCTCAGATGCTGAGTAGTTGTAAGGTCTGCTTCTGCTGGACTTTCACGCTTTGCTTTTGTGGTTGGCGTACGGGAAGCCAAACTGAGAGATCATGATGTTGGAGTAGGTCAAGGGCATGCCGTCGTAGATGGCCACGAGCTTGTTGAGGCAGTAGGACCTCTGCAGAAAGTGCTCGGCTCGGTGCCACATTCCCGAGTGGCCCCCGGTGCTTTCCTTTTCCAAACTGCCCATGTTCACGGGTTTCACAAACACCCCCGAAGCCCTGCCGATGTGCTTGGCGACGAGGAAGTTCATGGCAATGTCGTCGCAGTTCTGCGTCTCGTCAATCAGGGCGTGGACGGCTGTGGGCTGCCTCTGGAAGAGGTCCAGGTACTTGCGGCTGAAGAAGGAGGCCCCGATCAGCACCAGGGAGTACTGGTCACCGTCCCCAAGGCCTGGGGCCTGCAGCTCAAAGCCTCCGTAACTGTAGATGCCCGACGAGGTGGAGACGTGCTTTCTAGGAACAAATCCTACAATTTGATCGGGAAATTGCTGAACAGATGGAAAAAGGACAAGTAAGTGGGCTATTTCTTGGAGCAGACATGGTGAAAAAGGGCAACGAGTTAGTACAGGGAGAATTCAACAAATCATCAACTTTATTTTACTCCTTATTCCATGTAATTCTGGGCTACTTCGCACATCCACATCCTGGTAAGTGTGCAGGTCAAGTTCCATCACAACCCAAAGCTCTACCCTCACCCACATTCTCCGAGCGCACACATCATCTGCTATTACTAAACGCTCGTCACCAGCGTCTGGTTCTTCGAAGCGTGCCCCAGAGGAGTTGGCTTCGTGAATGCTATTTATCCCAGGAGATAGGAAGCCATGATGTGGTTATTTTGAAAAACTTTTCATCCCTAAGAGGTATATACAATTAGAGGTCTATAGGTAATGGTGTTACTGGTTTTCCATGTTGACGCCAATGTTCCTGAAAGTCACTGCTGATCTTAGACACTATTCTATTTTTATCCCTTTTCAGGCTGCGTGTTTCCTCCTTAAAAACATGTATGTGCACGCGTGTGTGCGTGTGTGTGTGCATGTGTTGGGATGACTGAAGGAAGGAGAGCAGTAAAACTGGACTATTGAACGTTAAGGTGATGGTCACTAAAAACATCCGCAGACAAAAGAAAACCAGTGAAGCAGGTGAGAGAGGTAAGAACTTACAGGGTTAAAAGGTTTCGTTTAATCCGACAAATAGTTTGAGTTTCATTCATTTACTGAACAGACACTGAACTAGGAACACACACACACACACTCAGGCTGGGCTCAGTCCCATTTCAGGGTGGGCACCATAAGGCGTTCTACGGGAAGTAGCCTCAGCGGATCGATCCTGAGTCCCTAACTGGGCGGGTCAGGGCGCGCAGTGAGGCCCCAGGCCGGTAACTTCTTCAGTGAAAGCCAGCCCTGCCCATCATCTCTGTGCCCCTCGGGGACCCTCCTCTGAAATAAACGAAGCCCCCTTCAGAGAGCAAGTCTTCTTACGTAGCCTGTAACCCAGCGATTTGCAACTGGCATGCGGAGAGAATCTTTAAAACATGTGATATCTGACCTGAAAGAATTTCTTAAACATGCAATAACTGACCTCTTTTCTCCCTTACCTTGTCAAATTAAAAAATGGCAACAGCCAACCCAACAACAGCCGTGGATGAGTCAAAATTATACCTATTCTTTCTGTCAGATTGGCAAAAACTGCAGTTCTTGGTGAGCTGCAGAGTCCCGGTAATCGGTTTCTGTGTGTCGGGAGACGCCGAAGGTTGAAAATCGCCGCTGTAATCCCCCCGCCTGCCCCATCCCACCTTTCTTCACTCGAAATGCACAAACCGCCACTCTAGGGGGGCAGTTTTCTCGGTCTGTTGGCACCGTGCTTCCCGGCCTATCCTCTGTCTGGCTCCAGTAAATTGTCATGAAAATTCTCTGCAGTTTGGATGCTCTCACAACGACAACACAAGTCACAGCCCAGATAGGGACAGACAGGACTTGTGAACAAGGCACCATGGACCATGGGAAAGCCTGGGGTGCTGCTGGGAGGCCATGGGGTTGCTGGGGACAAAGGGGAGGTTGGGGGACAGGAAACAAAGGCTGTGGGGCTCCGGGGAAGATGTGCAGGGGTAGGGGATGGCAGAAACGTTGGGGGAGTGGGGGGCTGCAGGGGGGGCACAGACAGATGTCTGGTCTTGCCTGTCACTGTAACCACATGGTCCCACTGTGCAGGGCATGGGTGACAATGTGCTGTAGCAGTCAGATCGTCGGGGGCAAGGGACTGCAACGGTTCTTGACATTGTTACAATTACAACCTGAAATCGTATTTATCCCTCTTCAATTACGGCTGACTTGTAGCATTCTAATAAACCACAGTCCTCATATTTCTCCCCCACCACCATGCCCCAAACCCCTGACATTTTAGGGAAGTGGATTTTTTGCCTGACATAAAAATCTCACGGCTGGAGCACCACGTGAGGACTTTTGGGGCATGTAGCCTTTATTCGCAGGGCTGGGAAAACCAATGACGGGGGACCACCTGCTGAGCAGAACACGGGCACCAGGTTAAAAGCCGAAGTCTGAGGACGCTGGTGTGTATGGTGTCCTGTGACCGCTCACCGTTCACATCTAATGCTGCTCGGCCCCAAGGAGCCAACCAGGGTGGGTCACGGCTGTGCGAACAGACCATTCACTGTGGAGCACAGTGTCCACGGGTCGGACAGGGTTTGTGCATGTGTGTGCAGTCTGGTTCCAGGGAATGAATAGGCGTGTGGCCTCTAATAGCCGGTGACCACTCACACGTACTCAGTAGGAAAGGCCTGCTCTTACAGAACAGTGGGGTTGTGGGTGGTCTGGGCCTGCTTATCCCAGCCAGGGTTTGAGGAGAAAAGAAATGAACAAACTGCCACTTCCATGGTGCCTAGAGAATTACTGTTATTCATTTCTAAACCAGGGCCTCAGAATCAGGGTTAAATTTGCAGCTGCACTAAACGCTTCCTTCTAACGAAGGCTATATACCATATTAATACAAAAGGGCACTTCTCGTTTGAGACACAGGTGGCCTTGAGGGAAACAGCTCTGCCGACCACACAAGGGGTCGCGTCCACACTGTCCTCTGGAAGGCAGCTGTGGCTCCTCCACCCGGAGTCCCAAGTGCCAATCGAACACGGGTGCAAGACAGCGCGCCCCGCCAGCCAGCTTAACTGAGTGCAGGAAATCGAGGGGACCACGTCACAAACGCATCTCCTTTAGTAAACCCTGCCTCCCCGTGCTGGGCGACCCCCACATCAAACTGCAATGCTCTGCTTAGACTCTAGACAGGACCTCATGCTGACGGCCTCACAAGGCACTCAGCAGCCTTACCTGCCAAACGGAGAAAGCGAACGCAATGTCCTGGGCGCTGATCAGCATGTCGTCATCTACCATTAGCACCGCTGAAAGGAAAGGGAGAATAACTGAACTGAACAGTGTGGAAGTGAAGACACAGTGAGTAAGGTTCACGGGGGTCTGTGCAGACCCTTCAAATGAGGTGTTCCCCAACAAGTGAGTAAAAAGGAACACGGACCCCTGGAGAGATCTGTGTAGCAGGAAGTTGTTATTCGAATTGTAATTGATTTTATAACCGCCTGAGGGGGAAATTAACCATAGGAACTAGTGAACCTATAAATAAATAACCCTGACGTTCTTTAGAGCAAATTGGGACCTCGTGAAACTGCTCTGAAAGGCAGGAGGATGAGGGTGGCCAGCCATGCGGTCAGCCTGAGCTGAACGGCACTTCACTGCCTCCGGAGATGCGAGGGTGTGTAACTGCAGCCCAGCTCCTTCCCAACACCAAGGCTCCCCCCTGTGCCATGGGCACGTGCCTTCCTCCCCAGGAAACTGCTTCCTGACATGTGGAAACTGTCCCTTCAGCTTCTCCACGCGCTTTCCTGCGACTGACCTCCCCTGCTCTTCTCTGGACAGTGAGGACCAGCAGGCGGCACCAGTGGCAACTCACCCTCGGTCTCCAGTTCCGGGAAGTTCTGGAGCCGATTTCTCATCCTGTTTGTTGTCTGCAGCTTGAAGACCACGGGGACAGGGTGCGGCCCCAGAGAATTCCACACGTCCTCGGGCGCCTTCTCCCCCACGTTGTTCCACACCACGATCACCCGGTGCAGCCGTGGCAGCGCCTGGTAGTGGTTCAGCAGCCGCAGCAGCAGGTCCGTCCTGTTGTACGTCTGCATGACCAGAGTGAAGGCGTCCCGGACCAGCCTGCCCTGGGGCTTTGCTGCCCTCCGCAGCTCCAGCACCTCGTCGTCTCGGTTACTGGGGAGGAAGGTGGTCAGAGCCCCGGCCACCAGCAGCAAGGCCAGGACGAGGGCTAGCGAGAGGCGCGCGGCCCGGATGCCCAGCACCCTGCCAGGGAGGCTGCAGACGTGGCAATGACACCTGGAGGGGGACGGAGACGAGCTGTTAGCCTTCCCACCAGTCTCCATGCTTGGTTTCTGCTTTTTCAACGAGGAGAGCCGTGCGTCTCCTTTCCGTTCCGGTTCCCCCACCTTGGCCTGAGACAGCGAGGCCCGCGGAGGAACCCTCCCTGCTGGCCTGACGCCTTGGCTGCTGCAGATAGAAGATCTTCTGCACCGACCAGGAAGGTTAAACCGTGCATTTCAAAATTTACCCTCATTTTACTACAAAAAATTTAAAACTGAGATCGTTTTCAAATGGCATGTTTCCCTTAGCAGTACACTCATTTATCGAACAGCTTTGCTGAGATATTGTTGACATTTAAACCACCCATGTTTAAAGTGTACAACTGGATGTTCCAACATACGCGTACTGCACTGCAGTATACTGACTTCAAACTGACTTTTCGATAGCAGACGTTCGTCCACATGAGATCATAAGCGGAACCCTAGCAAGGAGAGCAGATGGTAACGGCAGCAGCAAACCATCACAGTGGGCTGACTACTTATCAGACCCGGCACTGCGCACTTAGCCTGTCATGGCGTGTGCTTACGTCTTCCGCATGCACAGTACACAGACCAAAGATTCCACCGGATGACACATCCTACACACGTGTTAACTCACCAGCTCTTCGCAGGTAGGGGGCACGCCCTCTCAGCTATGTTTGACATTGTTATTCTAGCACCTTCTGCACCAGAGATTTCGACTGGGAATAATATGGCTCTCCAGGGGGCATTTGGTAAAGACTGGAGACTTTTTTTTTTTAAGATTTCCTGTTTATTTATTTTTTAAGAGGGGGGAAGGGAGGGAGAGAGGGCATTCTGATGCATGCTACAGTATGCATGAACCTTGAGGACATTGTGCAAAATGAAATGAGCCAGACACAAAAAAGACGAATATTCCCGATTCCACTCATTTGAGGAAGTGAGAGTAGTCAATTTCACAGTGAAAGAAAGTGGAACGGCGGTTGTGAGGGGCTGGGGAATGGCGAACAGGGGGTCGTTTTGCAGAGTGAGAAAGTTCTAGAGCTGGAATAATGTAAACATACTTACCACTATTGAACGGCTCACTTAAAACCAGTTAAGATGGCAATGGTGTACTTTATCACAACTCAAACAGAGCAAAAATGTCCCGGCACTCACCTCATCCTGATGGTTTCAATCCCCTTTTCCTTCCAGCTTCAGTAATCGATAGGAACAGACTCTCTTGATGCTATTAAGAGACATCAAAGGATCTTCTGTGATGCTTTTGTCAACGAGCAGGAATTTTTTAAAAATGCTTTTAGTACCACTGTCCACAGGCTTTGAAATATTTCTAGAAATTAAAATTTGCTATGCTATGTTCTAAAAACTACATTTTGGTAATGAGGGAGATAATGTCTTCCTACAGGTGGCTGCTGATACTGCTATATTTTTGTTTTCATGTTTCTCTAGAGTATCCAGAAGCAGAATGAGCTCAGAGCATCCCCCTGTCTCACGTGTTTACACGTCAGAAACCAGAACATGTATGCGCTGGAGCAAAGTCTCTGAATGTATTGGTCATACAGCTGATACTCTGTTCCCAGGTTCTTAAGCATCTGTAGTTTTGTCCTTCACCACAGCTCCTTTTCCCCTAAACGTTCACAGGGCGTTCAGTGTGAGGCGTCTAAAAAACGATGGGACCTAAAATAGGTTGCAGGTAAATGCCAGGGTTGAGCCTGGCTGGTGTGGCTCAGTGGATTGAGTGCCGGCCTGTGAACCAGAGGGCTGCTGGTTGGATTCCTGGTCGGGGCACGATCCTGGGTTGGGGGCCAGGTCCCCTGTGCAGGGTGCATAGGAGGCAACCACATATTGATGTTTCTCTCCCTCTCTTTCTCCCTTCCTTCCCCTCTCCCTTAAAATAAATAAACAAAATTTAAAAAAAAATAAACGCCAGGGTAGAGGACTGAGGGGTGACAGATGGCATCCTTCCTATTCCTGGCTGCGTGTCACTTGAAGGCAGCTGGAACCCTGGTTGCAGACGAGCGTCAGCCCCTTAATTCTTTCTGTTCTTACTTCTTACAGCCTCCGTCACATGTGTGAAAAACTGGTCCCCCCCCCATGGAGTTTGCACAGTTAATCTAATGCAACTAATCAGGAGATGACATAAACAGATATTAAACATATTCAGAGTAGAAATCCACTTATTAATTTTAAAATGTTCATCATAATATCATATATTTTGTAATCTTATACACCCATTTAATCTTGCGGCATAAACAGGAGTTAAGAATCTGATAGGAGACTTTAAAGATACTGCCTCTGTAATGACCACCCACAAAGAGCTGAAGAATCATTTTTGATTTTCCAGAATCATGCTCTTTCACGATACAAGTTATGAAAGGTCAGAAGGATGGCTTAGCGTGCGTCACAGGCTCCCCTAGCGCTGGAGGCCCCTCCTCCCTGTACCCCCCCCCACCACCACAGCAGCTCTGCGCGCATCACCGTTCTAAAATTAGCAGCTGATTTGCCTGTCACTACTCCTGACCCTCAGGTCAGCTCCTTCCTCCATCCAGTTCCTCTGGGAAAAGAACTTGGACTTCTCTGGCTTTGTAACCCACTTCCTTCCCTCCCCCCACCCCCCACCCCCCACACACCAGGGCCCAGCACGCAGTCTGGTGTACAGTGGACACTCATTATAGGATTGCTGAATGAATGAAAAAAAGTAACTTCAGCTTTGTCAACATAGTGGTTAACATACATGGACAAATACTACTTCAAGATGACAAAAGAAGTGAGACACAAGCATTTTCCATTCATAGAACTTTTTCTGATTTCAACAACGCTCAGTTTATATTTTCACTGAAATGCCTTTAGTGCTGGAGGTTGTAATTGCGTCCTCCAAGACTGAAAGCTCTGAGTGACATTGACGCTTTGGAAAGGAGCAGGCCCTCCCAGTCACAGGAAAACCTATCTCATATTTTTGAGGTGGGAGGCAGAGAATTTGGGAATCCCAGGAGGCCAATATAAATGAAATTAAACTTTAATTTCTCCCACTCGCTTTAAAACTATTTCAAAGGGGGTACTGCAGATTTCTCCATAAACCAGTGGTGCAATTTCTCATTTATAGTAATATAGGATAAAATGCACAATTTGTTTATTTGTAAATTGCCTCTATCGGGGTGACACTGGTTAATAAAATTGCATAGGTTTCAGATGTACAAATCTATATAACACATCATCTGTATATGGCACTGTGTGTTCACCCCCAAGACAAGTCTCCTTCCATCACCATTCATCCCCTCTTTATCCTCTCCTACCTCCCCTTTAACCCTTTCCCTCTGGTAATCACCATACTGTACAATTATTTTTAAAGGCATAATACAAAAGTACAGACTTAAGTTGCAGCTGACCGTGAGTTATGGAAATCAGTTGCTGAAATTTGGTTATTTCTATAGACCTTCTTTCTGCCTCCTAAATTGCATCATATTGAAATAAAGCCCTTTTGCAGAAAAACCCAATTGCCATGGAAGTATTTACCTATCCTTAACCTGGTTTGCACCCACTTAATGTTAGAGTAAAATTCGAAGTCTATGGCTAATATAAAAGCTTCCTAATAAACACAAGTAAATGCCACTAATTGAAAATATTTCTATATTTAAGTTAAAATGCTAATAAAATATACGTCAACAAAGGCAAAGTCAAAATACTCGTTCCAGAACTTAATTTCTGGAATCTAGCTGTTTCTGCACAGCAGTTTTAATGAACATGAACATTTTTTTAAATCGGAGAATACATACATTATATTTTCAAAAATAAAACCACCCACCCACTACCCTCCCCACCAACAAAGTTCCAGAACCGAAGCAAAACACGCATCACCCTCATTGCAAACATTTTTAACATGAGAGAGAGCCTTGTGCGATTTCCTTACCTCAGGAGCAGAGATTGCAGCGGGGCCGCTGAGGTATTTGCTAGCAGCTAGGCTGACACGAAACGGAAGGGGCGGTTCGCTTGCTCGCGAAAGTGCGTGCGTGAGTCGTTCTAAACCCTGCAGCGCGCATCCCGCTCACTTTGCGGCGTCTGCAGGTCTCTGGGAGGACTTGGCACCCGCTGCTTGAGCGCCCGGAGCTGGGACTGTCCCCCGGGCCGGCCACACGCCCTCGCTCCTGCTCCACTTCCTGTTGCATCCAGGCCCTTCCCAGGAAGCTCGGTTTTCCAGTTCCCAACCCGTTTCCGAACCAGTCCGGCTTCGCCCCGTTTCTTCCGCAAGGTAACGCCGTCAAGTCATTCACGTGATGCACCTGACCGTCCCCCAAACGGAGTCCCAGAAAGGCGTCCGAAGGCGTGTCCCAACGACCCCGGACGCCCCACGGGGGCTGGGAAAAGTCGGCTTCTCCCGCACTCGTAACGGGAGGGGAGGGTCAGCCCGTCGCGGTCCAGGGCGCCCCTGCGGGTACCGGCGGGCCGAGACTGGGGGGAGTAGTGCACCAACTAAACCCCCGATGAGCGCGGGCTCGCAGCAGCTCCCCGTAAACGCTTCCACATTCTTTTGCACATCTCCCGATTTCCGTCTCGTGGCCCTACGGAAGGGCCCCATTCTTTGCGGGGCGGCTATATGGGCCCTGAAAAACTGGGGGGCCCGCAGAATGCACCCACACCATCGCTTATGCCACCTGCGGAACGGCGGCGAGAGGACACCGCTTTCTCGGGCTTTGCGGCAGCACGCGCTGGGAATTAACTCTAACCGGAGAAGTGGCGAAAGGGCAGGCCCCGGGCGCGGCGCATCCCGGAACACTGGGCGAGGCCGTCGGGGCGGGGGCCGCGAACGCCTCTCCTTCTAGTCCCACCCCAGGAGTTTCTTCCCAAACGCAGGTGGCTCCCCAAGTCGAGACAGTGGACTACTACCTGCCATCCCGCTCCGCCCCCCAGGCCGTAGCGTAGCAAGCACTGGGCTACGGCTGTAAGCCCCGCCCACGGCGCTTGTCCCTCCCCGACCCCGCCCCCTTTCCCATCCCAGGACGCGTTGCGCGGCCCGGGCCGGAAGTCGGCGAGTTCCCGGGCGTGTGTCGGTGTCTGTCTCCCAGCTGCGCGCGGCCCGGCAGGCTCGCTGGGGATTCCCGTCCGAGGCGCTAGCACTGTCACTACTGTCACCCACGGAGCCACTGCCAGAGGGGAGTAGACCCGGCCCTTCGCCGGGCATTGAAGATGTTGCCCTTGTCCATCAAAGATGATGAATACAAACCACCCAAGTTCAATCTGTTCGGCAAGATCTCGGGCTGGTTTAGGTGCGGGGTGCCCTGTTTGCGGGGAGTGGGTGTCCGGCACGGGGAGGGGGACAAGGCCCAGATCGAAGGATGGCCCCAGGTCCAGGGAGGGAGCGTCGGGGACACCCTCGTTTGTGAAGACCCGGAGGGTCTGGAAAGGGGACCTAGCGTCCGGTCCCGGCACCCCCTTGACTCTCGGGCGCTTCCCCACTTTGTCGTGCCAGGTCTATCCTGTCGGACCAGACGTCTCGGAACCTGTTTTTCTTCCTGTGCCTGAACCTATCTTTCGCTTTTGTTGAACTACTCTACGGCATCTGGAGCAACTGGTAACCGAAGCGGGAAGGGCTGGGGCGGAAGCTGTGGGGTGGTGGATTCCAAGCTCTGTTTGCCTAGTGCCACGTAGCTTGTCACCGGGAGGTTCAGGTTTTGCTCTGCCGACACCTCTCCTGCCCAGTTACTTTGTCTTGTACACATCAGCCTGGCATGGTTACATATCTTAACATCCGGGCCCATCGCGAGCAGTAGGTCTTAAGATTTGGGTCCCCGCTTCTTTTCCCCACCCCCCACTCATGGTCAAACAGGAGTGGCAAGGCCCCTCCTCATTTGGGCAGGTAGAGAGAGTCTTTGTTCTCCAACCCCACGTCTTAGCTTTGCCCACTTTCTTGGAATTGGGAGAAATCTGTTTTCTGCCTCCTTGGGGGAGTGCCCTTCCTGTCTGTGGGGGAGTGGCATCTGTGTTTCACCCCTAAGACTCCAGAGAGGGCATATCTGAGAGGTTTTACTGAATTTGTTATTAGGTCTTGCAATGGGGAAGAGGTTTATAAAGCGGACATCTGGAGAACTATGTGTCATTCTCTTCTTCTCTCTTTAATTTTATGCAGAAACTGTCTCATGATTTTCCTCTGGTCTTGACTGCAGTAGGAAACCCCTTGCAGTTTCTATTATGTTTCATTGATGATGCTATTACACTTGTCCCAATTTTGTCCCCTTTGCCCCCCTCCACTCGGTACCCCCTGCTCCCTCAGACAGTCCCCCACCATTGTGCTCCATTTCCTATACTGTGTTTTACATCCCCATGGCTATTCTGTAAGTACCTATTTGTACTTCTTTACCCCCTCACCTTTTTGCCCACACCCCCCTCCCATCTGGTAACCATCAGAACACTCTCTGTGTCCGTGATCCTGCCTCTGTTCTTGTTTGCTTAGTTTGTTTTTCGGATTCACTTGTTTACCGGTAGAAGCTGACGTCTCTTGAGTTGAGGGTTTTTGCTGTCACCTTTGTTGTTTGTTTATTTAACTGCTTTGGGAAGGGGTATATCCAGTTTAACTCTGGAAAGGAAATGCTATTATGTAGTCATTTGCTGTTGAATTACTTGAGGTCTTATAAAATTGTTCAACAGTATGATCACCACACTTCTAGGTGTACTGATTCGTCTTTCAATCTCATATCCATTGAGAATCTGATGAAGCCAACACTCACATTTTATATAAAACTTCAGGGTGTTCTCGGGTTCCTCAAAATAGCTGTTGGACCCTGGATTAAGAACCTATAATATCTGTTCTTTGTTTTCTATTAATTAAACTCAGTCTCTGTCCTTTAAGGTCCATTTCACAGACAGTCACTGTCCTTCATCTTGATTGCTATTGAAATTGAGCAGTGACATTAGATAATATCACCAGTTTTTATAACCTGTATACTTTTATATGAAAAGTGGGCTTTTCAATACAAACGTGAATTCAGTTTTGTCAACAATACTCAGAAAGTATGATGGTTATTGGTTTAATGACCTGGGTGGAAAATGCATATTGAAACGATCACATCTCAACACATGTAACAACTGTTTTTAACCCTCTGGGAATCAGATACATGTATCTTGGGATGTCACCCTCCTGTGTGTGGTACCTGCTGCAAGCTCTGGGCAGCTGGCCCTTGGACAGCACAGGTTCCAACTGCTCAGGTCCACTTACATGCAGATTTTCCTTCAATAGTACATGCAGCTCTCTGTATTTTCTCTTCCTCGTGATCCTGTTAACAATATTTTCTTCTCTCCAGCTCCCTTTATTGAAAGAATACAATATATAATACATGTAACATACACAGTTTGTGTCCATTGATTGTCTATGTTATGGGTACAGCTTCTAGTCAACATAGGTCCTTAGAAGTTAAGTTTTGGGGTATCAAAAGTTGTACTCGTTTTCGACTGCACAGGGGTTGGGTGCCTGTAACCCCCGTGTTGTTCAAGGGTCAACTGTATTGTCTCAAGTTGTACTGGAATAATCATAATTTATTGTAAATACACAATATTTATATAGTTTACTCTTCCTAAATTATATTTTGCTGTGGCCTACATTGCGTAAGTTGCTATGTCAAATGTCTTGTTCAAGGGGTTCATGTTTGAAGTCAACCCCAGGCTACCTCTTTCATGGAAAGTTGGGTACATACTAATTCTTTTGGTGTGTAGAGATCTATTGAGGAAATTACTGAAACCATTGATTTCCAAGTCATTGTCCAAAGCCAGCAGCATGTAAGGAAAACCTCAGTGGCATGTGCCTTGTTCTTCCGTGGTTTGGTCTTCTGCAGCTGGCTCTCTTCTTCAGATTGGGCTGTGCTGTCCCCCGGATTTGAAGCCTAGCTCTGAACCAGAGTCTGTCATTCCTAGCTCAGTTCGCTGGTGTTCATCGTTACGGTCACCATCAGATCCACCGACAGCTATCCCCTAATATTAATTTTTACCAGTGGCTTGGGAGTACAGATGTGTTCCCATGGAAGCCTGGGCAGATTTGGAAACTGCTTGGGCCTCCTCACTATCTGGCTTTCTGAGTCCTCTTTAGATACTGCAGTTTATAGTTCTCTTTGCCGAATGAGCAACAGTGTCTTTTTGTGACTGGATTATCTCTGTTTCTGAAGGTCCAATTAGATTTTAAGTTCCTCGAGTGAATTTCTCACTGAAACTTGGTCATTGTCCTTTCTGTGTTCATTTTTACTCTGTAATAATTAAGCTCCAAGATGTTATGAACATGAAATGTCAAGTTTTTTTTTTCCTGTTATGGAAAAAAGATGGACAAAATATTCTCACTCTTCACCAATAGAGGTTCTTAGAGACAGTTGGTCTAGTTGCAACATTCTGGTTCTTGTTCAGAACCTTCATTGTAAGGGAATAAATTAGTTATAGTTTACATTTTTGATGATGGGAACATGTCATCGGTGGAAGAATAGATAAGTTCCACATTGAAGGTCCACCGCCTTTCACCTTCCCACTAGAATGGTAGCTTTATCAAAGTCGGGGTCATCTGTCTTACTCAGGTACCTTATTATGTCATAGATAGTATGCCTAATACATATTTGTGCAATGAAAGAATGAAGGAATAATTAGTGTATGCCATTAATCTACCCGTTCCGTTTTTTTCCTCCCCACTCCTTTTCTTTTTTTAAATTTATTTTTATTTCTAATTTTTAATCTATTTTATTAATTATGCCATTACAGTTGTTCTACTTCCCTTTTCTTCTTTATTATATTTCACTGTCTTTTTATTTTTATTTATTTATTTTATTTATTTTAAAGATTTTATTTATTTATCTTTAGAGGGGAAGGGAAGGAGAGAGGAGAGAAACATCAATGTATGGTTGCCTTTCGTGCATCCTCTGCTGGGAACTGGCCTGCAGGGGACCAGCCTGCAACCCAGGCATGTGCCCTGACTGGGAATCGAACTGCGATTGTCTGGTTCGCAGGCCTGTGCTCAATCCACTGAGCTACACCAGCCAGGTCACTGTCTTTTTAGAAGGTGAATTCCTGAGGAGCAGAGACTGAGCCTCAAAGTTTGAGAGATGGCTGCCTCCTGTCTGGTTATTATTCTAATGTGCACCGTGTTTGTTCTTTTCCAGTTTAGGGTTGATTTCCGACTCTTTTCACATGTTTTTCGATAGCACTGCTATTTTGGCTGGATTGGCAGCGTCTGTTATTTCGAAGTGGAGAGATAATGATGCTTTCTCTTATGGGTAAGACTTTTTATAAACCTTTTTCTCAAAGTGTAAGAAATACAGAAAGATACACACACCTCAGACTGAAAGAATTTTCACACATTGAACACACTTGTGGAAGTCGAACCCTTGAAACTCCCCCCGTGCCTCTTTCTGGCTCCTTCCCACACAGACCCACCTTCCTGGCGCCGCCTTCCTGGTACCCAGTTACCTGCTTTAGAGCGGCAGGTGCCTGTCAGCTACGGTTTCCCTGGTTTGTTTGTTTGTTTGTTTGCTTCTAAGTTTTTGTGCTTAGAGGCAGGGTGTCTTGATTTTACCAAAAATTTTCAGGTGAGGCTGTTACTAGACTAGGGAGTTTCTCAACTCTTACCCTAGTTTCTTGAAGAACATGAAGAAGTTTCAGTCTATGCACGTCATTGTTTTTCTTCTCTTTCTTTTTAGGAGGGATGATTTGCTGTTGATTTATCTAACATCGTTATTTCCCCATATGGCTTCATTTTACACATTCTCTTCACCTTGGCTTTGATGTAAAATACTCCTTCTCCTGCTCTTGCTGAGCTTGGCGGGTTCATCAGCTCTTTGGAGCGAGTTTTGGAGCTGAAGGAAGACCTGGGCTCACCGTTCATCCTGGTGCCCCAGACGCCGGCTTGAATGTTTTCTTTGAGCTCCTTGGCCACGCCCACTCGGGCATCCTCTGCTCTCTGTCCCGCTGGTGGTCTTCTTTCTGCCCTTCTGCCAGCTTCCTCCCTGCAGCTCCCTCCTCATCCCCCCCAGTGCCCGCACTTCCCCTCCTGCACTGCCTTTCCCACTTTCTCTCTCTGTCTGTCTCTCTCTCTCTCGTCCGTCCACGTCCTCACACGCATCCTCTCCCTCCCGTCTCTCCTGCTCCCCGTGCATTCATTCTAGCTTCTTGGGCCTGTGTTCTCCCTCTTCTTCTCCCCCTCACATCTTTTTCTTATTCTTCTCTATCCCCTGCCCCGTGCAGAGCCCCGTGCTCTGTCTCTCAGCTCTTCCTTGTGCTCCTTCCCCCTCCCTCAGCCACCCCTCCAGTCCTTTGGCTCTGGCTTTTGCACTCGGTCCCTCCCTGGGTGGCCCCCGGTCCTCCCCTGGTGCCCCATCTGGTCTCAGGGCAGTGTCTCCATTTCTCTGCTCTTGTTCCTTCTTCCTTCGTCCACCCTCCTCCCTCACCCCGTCCTCCCGTCCAGCTTTGCTTTCACTCTGGAGCAGGCGCTCACTGTCCCTCGCACATACTCTGTTGTCTCCAGAGGCTTGAGGGCCAGGGATGCAGAGATGAGTAAGATGTGGCGTCTGCCCTGGGGGGACTCCGGGTCTGCTGTGAAGGTGGGACAGGTACAGAGAGACTTGGTGGGAGTCTGAGACGGCACTCGCTGGTCTGCTGTGCAGCCGCGGTGGCGGGGCTCCTCGGGAAGCTATGAGCAGTGGGACGCACACCCCGACTGCACCGTTGTTATGGTGCAGAGCAAGGGCTCCCACCCGCCCGCAACTCAAAGAGACCGCATGCTCCAAAAAGAACACTTTCCACGGTACTATAGAATCAAAGGATTCTGAAGTATATTTCGGATTATTGAAGAGAGATCGTATATAAAGTTACAATTTTGGACTGGGAAATGAGTATTTCATAAATATTGTATATCGAAAGTCGAGTGAGACCGCCTCATTCAGTAATCTTTCTGGACGCACAGTAGGTTATTATAAAGTTCCCCCCCAGCTCCCTCGTTCTTGGGGCGCCTGTCGTTCCATCTAGAACGCACAGTCTCCTGCTGTGCGGGTTTTCGTGACCAGCTGTGAGCACCTGTACGGTCAGGGCGGGTGACGCTCTTCAACTTCAACTAGTTGGTAGGAGACAGCACTGTTCCTGCCACCGTTCACTTCTTATCCTGTCTTCTCCTAGTTGCCTTTTTAAAGAATTTCTTTGAGAAGGAAACAATCAGGGAGTAACACCCGATGGAACCTTCTGAAACACTTAATAATTGCTATGGTAGTTACGTGGCAGCGGGAGTAAAATACAGGTGCCGGTACCTCAAAATGACACCTGAGAGGCAAAGCCCAGGGATCAGTCCCAAAGCCCCAATTTGGTGTGATCGCCACGGCAGATTGGCGGCGTGGAAAACACGGTGGGAGGGATCCGAGAGGCAGCAAAGACCTTATGCTACTCCTGTATGTAAAAGTCGCCTTTGTGCGTCTTTGAAAGAGCAAAGCCAGCGTAAAAGTAACACGCACCCAGCGGGTAGGGAGGTGCGAATCATATGTATATGCTTATGTATGTCTGAAGGTCCACTTGCTTCATTTTTTTGTCCTGACAGAAGAGTTCAGATGCAGTCATAATTAGGCAGTGGCACGCTCAGGAGCTAGGTGGTTCGATTCTCAGACGCACTCCGTGGAAGGAAACACAGTCACCTGGAGAGGCAGGCGTGTCTGATTCCCACAGGTTTTTTTGTCTTATCCTGCAACCGAGTTTTGCAGATACATTAAACTGAAGTAAATCATTGCAGTCCGTCCACTTATCAGAATCTATGGAGCACCTGCTAAGCTGGGCACAAAAAATGCCTGGGAAACATTCCTGTCTTTGACCTTGAAACCTGGCGGAAGCTAAGGGCAGTGAGGGCTGCTGGGAGCTCTTCCCTCAGTCAAGAATTAGCTGTGGAACTCGAGGGCGGGGCAAGAAAGTGCCCTGTCGTGGAGACGTTACTGAGTGCAGGCTGTGGGGAGCAGGCTGTCAGTTCTTTAAAATAACGAACTTTTTCTGCAGAAACAGTATTGCATTGACAAGTAATGTGCTAATTTAATTCACTTATGTGTTAGAAGGCAGAAGTATGCATTACTTTTGAGTGTAGAAATACGTGCTATGTTGGAATGCACCGCACAGGGTTAGCTCCCACATAACTGGACAGAATGCGTTATAAAGAGCTTGCATTCTTTCCTTAAAAATGTTTTTACAGGAAAAATCCTATTCTCTAGAGGTTAACACAGCGAGAAAGAGCAGTGTATTTCATGTTCCTATTATATTCTTAAAGGACCAGAGTGATTAACTGCTGTGAGTGCACTTTGAATAATGTTTGAACAAGTAAAGCTGCCAAGTTCAAGTTGTTGCTAATGACTTGAACTAAGCCAGAGTTAGCTTACAGAAACACGAAAGCCTTCCCCAATGCCTCACACAGCTAGGAAGCAGAGAGCTTGGGAAGTCCCTGCAGAAAAAAGCAGGTATTTTTTAAAAATAGTTTAATTAGCATTATGTGAAGCTAAAGTTGATTCTAAAAATAAGTTCAAGGTTTTGCTACATTTATTAATCTTAGGAAAGGACTGATAGAAATATAAGTCTCGAGTTTCTGGGCTACTTCAGAAATAATTACATTCTCCTTCAGCTCGAATCTCTACTTTGCAAAGATTTGAAAGCGGAAAAGTACAAAGCAGAAAGCATGAGGCGTTCTTCCAAAGAAGGAGTTAATGAGTCACAAAGCCCCTTTTCTAGCTTTTCTCTTCCACCTTTTATCTTTGGATCCTTCTTTGCCCATTTCTCTGGCCCTGTTCTTGCTTCTCCAGTGGCAACTGAGATTCACATCTCCAGGGAAGGTCTCTTTAAATCTACTTTAAACAGCCTTTTTTTGTGTGTATTTAGAGATCTATGTATTTATGGCATTCTGCTATTAAACATCATTCATAATAATTAAATTCCTTTATTTTTAGAATATATGTACAATAAAACATGATATACTATAAATCCTGGGACTTTGCTGGCCACTTAAAACCCTATAACGTGGTTTAGAATCATTGACATATGTAAATTTACTATTTGATTTGTGAAAAGATAATAATTCCGTTTACTTTGCTCTTCTCTAGGTATGTGAGAGCGGAAGTTCTGGCTGGCTTTGTCAATGGGCTTTTTTTGATCTTCACCGCTTTTTTTATTTTTTCAGAAGGAGTTGAGGTATAGTAGATAATGACTGGAGTCAGTAAATTACATGTCTGTGATAAAAATGTGTATTCGCTAACGACTCATGGGGTAGAGCTCTTGTCCACACGATCGTTAACATTGAGGAGAGTTGTGGCTCAGATAAAATGTGACGCGTGTACCGGAGGAGCTTACAGAACAGTTAAAAATTTAGATGTGGGAGCACTCGAAACTGAAAACAACCGTGAATGAAGTGCTGACGTTATGAATGAAAAAGTAAAGGAGCAACACCGGCAGTGAGGGCTGCTGGGAGCTCTTCCCACAGGCTCTGAAAGTTTTGCCAGTGAGTGCACTGTTTGTTGTGTTAGAAAGAGAATTTAAAGATGAATGAACTTAAAATGAATGGCAATATTTTAAGATACCAAAGAAGGATGGGTTTAGAGCAGATACTCGTGCTTTTAAATGTTTGTATTTAAACACTAGTTAATAACAAAAACTAGTTATTGTTACCTTTGCTACAGTGTGTGAGTGCAGGTTTTAATTCTGTATACTGTTCTGGCTGCTATTTTCGGAGGGACTTTAATTGGGAACGTGCCTAAAACTGTTGGGAAATTGCTGTGCCGTTCCCCGCTGAGCAGTCGGAAGTCACGTGTCCCCGGTCTGTGTCGCGTGTTTTCCAGCGAGCGCTGGCCCCGCCGGACGTGCACCACGAGAGGCTGCTGCTGGTTTCGATCCTCGGGTTTGTGGTGAACCTGGTCGGGATCTTCGTCTTCAAGCACGGAGGTCACGGGCACTCTCACGGCTCTGGTACGACGGTCAGAGCCCTTTGCTTCTTCATTTTCGGGTGTCTGTCGTAGTTACTCCCTTTGGAAAGTGGATGGCTTTTAAAGTTAAACTGTTGGTTTTCAACGACAAGACTAGTGATGCTGATAGACTCTTACGAATGCCTTCCTGCGCCATCCCATCTGCTTCTCTGTGCCCCCCAGCACCCTCTCTGCTGTGCACGTTACCGCTTGGGTGTGGGTCCTTCCAGAACTCGGGAGCTCACCTGTCGACTGTGACGCCGTCCACGTAAAAGCAACACGTGGACATCAAAACCACAGAACAGATCTAGTCACAGCAGACGACGGCGTAGGTTGGCGGGAAGTTCTCCGTGCGCTCTGTGCCTTCGTCTGGCACCCCCTCCGTCTCCCTTCTCTGCTTAGCAGACGCGCAGAGCTCCCGGTTCGTTTAGCCGGTCCTCTGTGGGTGGGCGCAGGCCGGCTCCCGCGATTGCGGCTCCGAGCCTTGTGGAGCAACACGGGGAGTGTCCTCCCAGAGCCCCACTGCCCCGCACGGCAGCCCTCAGTCACAGGGGACCGTTTAAACCGACGTCACAGTTGACTAAAAATGCGATTCCTCAGTCGCGCTGATGGCATTTCGAGTGCTCCTTAGCCACACAGGGCTATGGTGCTGCGCAGCGGGTACGGAACGTCTCTGGGGAAAACGCTCCGAACTGCACTGTGCAGGAATCCGCGTGTGGGTAAAATCGCCAGGACACGGGACGTGCAGTGTGGAGTGTCAGTGCACATCAGCAAATCAGTCTAAATGGCTGTTACTCTCTGATTGCAAGCACTGCTTCCCATCGCCCACGTCAACACTTAATATTATGGGTTTAAAACCATTTTGCTGATATTGAAAACATGTCATCCGTTTATTTGGTATTTCTCTATTCCAGAGTCACCCGTTCTTTTCATTTTTTTTTTGCCTTGTTTTTCTATCGTCTTATTGTTAATCCACTTACAAGCATTTAAAAAAATACATTTAATATATTTTTCTATGCTAGTCCTTTGTTTTATGTGTTGCAAATTTCTTTTCCCAATCTTTGGCTTGCCTTTAAACTTTTATATGTGGGTTTTTAACTTGGATACAATCTAGTTTTTCCGTCGTACATTTTTTTGGGGGAATGCGTTCTACTCACAGGAGGTTTCTGCCGTGGGTCATGACCCTGTTCTCTTGTCATTCAGCACCGTGACGGTTTGGGGTCTGTGTTTTCCCCCGTCCATTCTGGTCCTTCCTCTGCTTCCTTATTTTTTATAAAACAAGTGTAGCTTATTTTTGTGATAGGGTGAGTAAGGACCTCCCTCTTTTTCTCCGTGTGAGTAAGGGGTTTTCCAGGCATTATTTGTTGATCGTTCCTTCCCCACACCTGATGGAAAGGACACTTTTGCCCGGGATTACACCGCCGTGTGTCACGGGGCCAGTCTGTCCATCCTTGACTCTCCTGACACACTGGGCTGGTGCCTGTCCTCTCCACGGGTCAATGTCTGGGAGGGCGGACCTGCCTGTGGGGGCCCATCTTGCTTACTTGTTTTTTTCATCAGCTTGTCCAGTTTAACAAAAAACCTTGTTGGGGTTTTGACTGGAAATTCACTATTTTCACAATTTATGGCTAATTGTGAAAAACTGGCACAACTCACATTAAATTCCAGGGCTTTCATTAAGTTGTCTCAGACATTTAAAATAAACATCTTTGTAGTTTCCTTTGGTCCATTTTTAGGCAGTTGAAAGTTTTTGTTAAGAACAGTGTGACTATCGGTCCTGCCCATCTTCCCGCACAGCCAGGACTCGAGCTCAGAGCTGCGTAGACATAGTTCCCCCCTGTGTCCTGGCGTCAGCAAGGACACGTACCTGGGCAGCTTTTAACGATGCCGGCTTTCACTGCAGGGCGTCCACACTCACCAAGACCCCTGCAGGGAGAGACCCAGCTCCAGCCGAGCCTCCCCGCGACGTGGCTCTGCAGCCACGGCCGAGCACCGTGGCTGTCGTGGGGCAAGCTGCTCGGGGCTCGCCGCTGGGTCTGGTGCTCACGGTTGGTTCCTGGCGGAACGGCCCTGCCAGCCAAAGGGGGTTCCTGAGCCTACTAAAGTAACGTGGTCTCCTCCTCTAGTTAATTTAGAATTGGTGATTCCATGGCTAGATTTCCCCATGAGGACCCGTCCTTCAGTTTTGGGGTCAGAGTGCGCTCATTGAAGTCGATTTTGGTGTGCGGTGTGAGGAAGGAGTCCGGTGTTGTCTTACATACAGATGACCAGTGGTCTCAGCACCATTTGTAGAGGAGATGACTTTCTCCTGTCGAGCTGTCTAGCCGCCCTTGCCAGCAGTCGGTTGGCCTTGAATGTGAGAGTTCCTTTCTAGACTCCCAGCTCGGTCTCACTGGTCTGTGTGTCTGTCCTCAGGCCAGCACCTTTCTGTCTCGGTCAGTGTGACTCCGACGTAGGTTTTGAAATCACGATATATGTTTTTCCTCTCTATTCTTTTCTTTTAGTTTTGACTATTCTGGGTCCTTTTGTGCATTTCCCTGTAAGATTTAGGGTTAGCTTGTCAGTCTCTGCTTTATTTCCCTCCTGTACTGTGCAGTAGGAACTCAGTACTCCTGTAACGTGCCTCTGACCGTGTTTACCAGTCCGTGTTCGTTGAGTGGAATCTGGTTTTAGAGCTAGTTCACTTTGCAGGTACCAGTAGTGCTGTAACCATTCAATGATGGGTCTTTATGTTCCTTTTGTTCTCAACTGTCTTTAGGCCACGGACACAGCCATTCCCTCTTTAACGGTGCTCTGGACCAGGCCCACGGCCGGGGAGACCACTGCCACAGCCACGAACCGAAACACGGGGCTGCACACGGCCACGGGCACAGCCACGGCCACGGGCACTTCCACTCCCACGGTGAGTGCAGCCGGACGCCTGTCACTCAGCAGAGTGCGGCTCCGGCCTTTTCCTAGTGGACGGTGTCTGTTAAAAAGTGTTGGGATTGACTCCTTTCTCGTGAATCAGACTCTGTGGTCCCAGGCGAGTTCTGCTTCAGTATTTGATGAGTTTACTTGGTCAGGCAGTGGATGTAGCTTTTGTAAAGTGTGATTAGGCCTTCTGTGCTATAGATAGGCTTACAAAAATACGATAGGAGTTTTCCATTCTTCACATTTTCATTGTAATTTTGGTAGATATTTGCCTCAATATGATCTTAGGAATTTTTATACGCTAACCTACATGGCAAGGCATTGGGTGCTAAGTTATAAGGTACTTAGCAACTTAATTAATATTTAATTTAAAACGTCCATTTTAAATAGTTTACTCATGGAATTTTCAAGTGTAGATTGCCAGGTCTGCTTAAGTGGTGCAATTTGACTAATCTTTAAATAAATTATATACTTAAATATTTAGTGTACCTGCCATGTTGACAGAACTGTAAGCTTTAGGTGGAAAATAGGAAAGGGGCCTTGGAGTCTGAATATTAATTTTTCAGTCTCTAAAATTTGCTATATTTTTGTAAGTCCTACTCTGATATGCTTTAAAACCTTGCTTTTCTAAGACTTTTGCTCACATGCATCTTAAAATAATTTTGAAAATTTTAACTGTTCTTAAAGATGATTTCTAAAAAAATTTATTTAAATAATTGCAAAGAATATAATTTCTGATACACTACAGGTGCTATTTCATAATGAAACTTCTACCTTGCCTTGTTGAATATATTCGGTGGACTCTAACTCCCGTAGTGACCTGAGATTCACTGTCACTGGTTCAGAAACATGTAGGCAAACAGTTCCAGACTCCACAGCCTCCTTTCTCTTGGATTTTTATTGCCATTCCACTTTATAGAATTTTATAATAATGGGTGATGTTTGTGATAGATACATTTTAAATCGATCATCCGTTATTCTTGGCAATAAAATATGTACATAAAATAAAGATTTGTATTTCCTAGGAACCTGTGACTTAGCATTTGAGTGTTTCTTTCGGATGGAGTTTTGTTAGTCGTACAAAGTCAATCAAAATATTTCTGTTTTTAAATTTGAATCGTGTATGATCATAAAGAGCAGCATTTTATTTGAAATATGTATCTTAAGGAGGTGATTAGAGCTCTTTTTTCTCAATTAGTTTATAGATAATTAATATTTATTAACATATAACAGGTTTTAGCATCAATTCTCTTCCTGTGTTTATTATGTAAGTACTAAGAAACGTTAAACAGGAGGAAATTCTGTTATAGCATTTCAGTCAACTCTTTGAACCCCTTCAGAATTACATTCCAAAGATTACATAGTGATCTGGTATCCAAAATTATTTTGGATATATTAACTGTGGTCAGCTTCATTAGCTAATCCCCACATTCTGTTAAAGCAAAGACTCGGGCACCATGTGGCTTATACAGGATTTGCTGGCCAGTCATTGGAGTCATTGCTTTGCTGACATTACCACCAACATTGCAGTTGACCCCTTGTTTGCCACACTAGAGTTTTTCTAGTTCCCTGGGCAAAGCCTGGTGGTAAGATTTGAGGTGGGCGAGAGGCAGCCCTTTTTTTGGTCAAGGAGATGGTGAGTGGGGAAGAAAAATGACTGTGACGTCAGGGCAAGAGGACATCCTGACAGCTGGTCAGTACAAATGCTGGGTTTCCGAGACAAGGAGTCCGACTCCAAAACCTGCCCCTGTCATCCTGCCTTCAGGGTTATGGTAGCCAGCCCGAGGACACATTGGCGATGGGGCCACCATTCCACTTTGTCCCGAAGAGACACCGTGGTCTCTCTGGGAAGCCCTGTGAGCTTCACGTTTATTGGAACGCTGCCCCGTGGGTCACATGCCTGCCAATTGCCTGTTCCAGCTGCTGGTATCTCAACGATCGGAACAGTGAAGGTTTACGCCCTGTGCTGGGCCGATAGGGCGGGGCCCTGATCCTCAGGTCCCTTCAAGGAGCCAGGCTCTTCCTGCAGACGGGCATTCTTAACCCCGGGAGTGTGGCAGAGGATCACGTGGGACCTCCTTAGGAGCCTGAGGTGCTTTCCGTCCCTCATTTCTTTGTTCGCCCCCTCAGTCACACATGGCTTCTAACTCCAGGTGCCCAGGACACATGGTTCAGTTATTTGATAGCAAGAAAGGACAGTGGTGTTTGGCCGGCAGCTAGCCGCGCTCAATAAGAAGTGACATGTTTTATATCCAGAAGGACTTTCAGATTTCGCACAGATGGGAGTTTTGCTGTCTTACATAGTGATTGTGTTAGCACACCAGAACATGCCTTTCAAACTGACGGTGTCAGAACAGCTGTCTTTCTCTGGACCTGCTACACCTGCAGACAGAAATCTGGTGCCTGGCTCACCTCAGCAGGGTTTCCAGAAGGCTGCAGTTTTGTCTCCACACGGCAGTGCCACGTCGGTGAGCACTGTGCACGTCACGTGCTCTGGGCTGTAGTGAGCAGCCAGCTCGTGGGTGCCACGGACCCAGAGCCCGTGGGTGCTGTGGACCAGGGCCCGTGCCCCGCCAGGGCCGCTCTCTGTTAGGTCCCAGGGCTCGTCGGTCCGCTTGATGTGCCGTTTGCATGAATAGCGCTTGTCTTTTACATGGTTTACCGATGGTTTCTTTGGATGTTAAAAGAAGCAGTTATACCTAACTGCTTTGAAGATGTTAAAGCCGATCGCTCATCTTCAAAGCAGTTAGGTATACAGATTGTAGGGCTTTTTTTTGTTGTTCATCCTAAAGGCAAAATGAAGGTGTTTTTCTCTCTTCGGTGTGAGAAACTTGGCTCACCTGTCTGGAAGCGACTGGAAAACTACTGTTTGCCACCGTTGCCTCGGTCCAGCTTTCCTGAGACTGTCCTGACTCTGTTCCTTCAACCTCACGTAACCCCAGCCAGCAGTTTTGTGCTTTGTGCATTTCTAACTATAAAATTAGCATAGTGCGCTGTGTGTAGAATGCTCTGAATATTAGAAGACTTTCACGGTGTGTCCACGTGCTGTGTTCTTTCTTACCAGACTGTTTACTGTAATAATTTGCTGACTGTAATAATTTGCTGAACACTACTCTGTACTGCTGATGCATTTTGAAATTTGTCATGTCTATTTCCATGAAATTCCTGTATTAAGTTCCAAAAATAATTTTGCAGGTCCGATGTGGCTATGTAGTCATGCATCCTTCACTATACGTTTGAATGAAAATACTCTGAATTGCAAAAATTGCATCAGGAATTGAAGACACGTTTTAAAATGATCTCACTTAACTCTCTACAGATGGCCCCTCCTTCAAAGAAACAGCAGGACCCAGCAGACAGATTCTACAAGGTATGAGGAGGAGGAGCTTGTGGTTTCTCAGTTCTGTGAAACGGCTTCACAGCTTTCCTTTAAGAAAAATGCATAACACAGTGTTTACGTTGAACACGTTGGCCTCCCAGTGATTTTCCTTATTTGTGCTGTTAAGTGTATTAGCAGACGTTCCTTCCATTTGTCACTTGGCTGTTTCCTCAGATTGAATGAGAAGAGTAAGATATTCAGAAACCACCCTGCTTCGGTGTGAATCTTGCCCGTCGCAGTGACCGCACCGCCACCGTAGTAGTGTGTGTGCCTTTGCGGGGTTGTCCAGGGGTTTCCCGCGAGTCCTGTACTCCGTGCGTGCTGACGTGGTGGGAGGCTGAGAGCTGCAGATGTGGGCGTCTGAACCCACAGATGTGCAGTGCCCGGGGGGAGCCCTGACGTGGGCCCTGGGCGATGACGACGGGTCGGCGCCGTCCCGTCAGCTGTGCCACGTGCACTTAGGTGCGGAGCATGCGCAGTGGGGAGGCTGTGCGTGCTGGGGGCAGAGGCCACGCGGGAAGGCTCTGTCTTCCTGTTTGTGCTGTGAACCTGCGAGGTAAAGTCCGTTCTACTGTTCTAGAACGTAATGCAAAGTGAGACCCCCGGTGCAGCCCCAGGCATCAACAATGACGCCTAAACAGAAGCTGGCACGCGTGTGAAACAGTGTGGTACGAACCTGTACAAGCCGGAGAAAGTCAGTCTCGTCTGTGCACTGTGGTGGTTCCCGTTTTGGCAGGTGGACCAGTCTTGGACTCTGACTCTCCATGCAGAGTGCATTGTTAGGTTTTCTAATTCCCAGCTGGCCTTCCTCCTGCCTTCATAAGCTTTGACTTCAGCCTGACTTTCCAGTGGCTGGCGACCTGGTCTCCCCCGCACCTGGGTGTCCCCTCTGCTTCCCGACACAGTCCTTCTTTGAACACTCTCGCTGGGAATGAGCCCCTCCCTGCCCAGGAGTTGCTTCAGGAGGCTTAACCGTGTCTTCTGGTCTCCAGTTTTCCATTTGCCAAACATGTAGAATTGTCTTAGAGCAGCATTTGCTGACCTAGCGTGTAGTCATGCATATGCAACGCCTCTATATCCAAAGCTGTAAATTAGCCTCGATAATAAGAGGTTATTTTTAGTTTGGAAATCATCACAATTTGAGGGGACATAAAATTTGCCCTCCTAATTATCTTTTATATAAGCTGTCATGAAAGTGGTTTATATTTTTCTAAGTGTCCATCCACTTATGATGATGGACGCAGCCCAGTGGAAGGTGGGGGGGGCAGGGATAGTGCCCGGTGTGAACCCCCTCCAGGCGGGTGCTCACACAGGGCAGACCATGTGGACTGACTGGCCTGGCTTTTTGCTGCCTTTCATTCCGCTGATAAAACCCGCATTCGGGTCAGCAAGTCAGAGGTAGCCAGGGACTTGCAGTCAGCAGAAAATAAAAAATGGATGGTTCTTTTCTTCTCCTTCTGGTATTTAGAGCTATTTTTGTTTCTGATCCCACCAAAACACTGATTAAAAAATAGATTTAAAAATCACACACTTAAGAATTTTGAAGCTTAGGGACTCTTGGTCCACGTTGCTGTGTATTGTTCTCCAGTTTAATTTTAAAACTTAGGGTGATCCCAGCACTTATTCATTCTCTGCTATTGAAAGTGTTCTTCTGACATTTTTGTGATAGAAAATTGCCAATTTTTTTCAAGGATTGTTATAAAGGTTAGCACCCTATACCAGTGACTTTCAACCGTGTGCCGCAAGAATGTTTAAAACATGCAGTACCTGACTGTTTAGTCAGGGGCACTGACCTCTTTCCCTTAGATGGTCAGATAAAAATGACAGCAGCCGACACAGCTTTCAGTGTGGATGCCCCGTCCGGAGCCAGTGTGGATGGGTCATAGCACAGAGTTGCACCTTATTGGTACCATTGCGTAATCACGTTGTATCTGATTGGTTAATTCCTGGTCCCAGAAATCCTTATGTAAAGTATAGGCACCTGATTTTTTAAAAAAAGTCACTGTGGAGCAAAAAGAGTAGGTGATTGCTATTATATTTTTTTGTCGAACAAAATTTTACCTGTTCTTTTTCAGGTGTGGCACAGAGTTTTAGATGTTAGTGTGTGTGTGCCTGAGATGGCAAAGGAAATACAAGTGAGAAAGTACGTGGATGCCGAGGCAGTGATTTTATTTGGTGTTCAGTGAATAATAAATGAGAAAAATAAGTATTTCTAAAGCAGCCCCGTGCTCTTTGCACGTTAGAGATTTCTCTCCAGGTAGAGTAGTCGATGCTGTTGAAGAGTGTTCTCTGTTCAGCTGCATCTGGTCAGAGTTGTTCTCAGAGGTGGTGTTGATTTTACCTGTTGAAGATCTAAATGTTGAGTAATTTATCTAGTTCAAAGTTTTAAAACGTGATTTGTATTAAACTTACTGTTTGACATTTTTAAATGTTTTTCCTGTCAAGTGTCAATTCATTTAATATTATATTCTAGGTTCTTGGGCAGTTAGAATACCAGTATCCTATCAACTTAATATTTAATTATTAAAAGTTCAAATATATTTACATCCAGTTTAAAATATTCAAATTTCTACTTTCCTTTACATTAGGTTTGAGGTTAGTACGTCACTTTAGGTGACAGAAACTTTGGGATAATTAATAAATATGACAAGGTTATGATCTGCAGGAAATCTGTCTCACGTGGTACCTTGAATGACCAGCAGAGGGCTCTGTGGGCCCACACCACAGACTTTCCCATTTGTAGCCATAAGTTGTGTTCTCTTGACAGATTCTTTCCACCTAGTGAGGTTTTCTTCTAGCAAGTTATTAACTTCTGAGCTCTTTTAGCCAGAGATGAATTTATTACTCTACTTTCCCATTCATATTATTCTGCATCAGATATAGTAACCCCTGATGATTTGAAACAGGAAAGATTATTTCAACTCCCACCGCACCGTTACCTCATTACGGAACAATTGACCTCCTTTCTCACCAGTTTTCAAGTTGGTGGGTCGCCTTTGATATAGGGAATCAAGGCTAGGTTGAGGAAATGTTTTTGACTTTCAGGGGCTCCAACAACGGCGCTGCTCTGATTCTGGGGCTGCTCTCTTTCTAGGTGTGTTTTTACACATCCTGGCAGACACCCTGGGGAGCATCGGGGTGATCGCCTCCGCCATCTTGATGCAGAATTTCGGTCTGATGATAGCGGACCCTATCTGCTCCATCCTCATCGCCATGCTCATCGTCATCAGGTAAGTGGGGCCTGTGACCTGGGTTACGAGGATGCGAGGTGGTCACTCTAAGTTATGATAGCGTTGCTTTTCCTCTGGCCTGTGACAGCTTCCTACAAGGAGCCCTTCTCTTTACCTCTGCCTGGGCTGTGAGGCTTCCTTTGGTGTTCCGTGGTTAATCTGGTGGGTCTGTCATTCAAGTCAGTAGTCGTTTCCGTGGCTCCAGCACCACGTCTGCAGAGTAGGGCACTAGGAATGTAGATGTGTTCACCATAGTTAGAAAGAGTTCACCTTCGCTCCTTGCCATCTCCCTCTTGCACTGCCAGATGCACAGAACGTTAGCATCTCTTCTAGAACTGTTTTCCACCTGCACAAAATCTTCGCAGAAGTCCCGAAAAAGCACTTATTGACGTACACTTGTGTCTGTCTCCCCGTCCACACTTGGGTCTGTCTGCCCGTCCACACTTGGGTCTGTCTGCCCGTCCACACTTGGGTCTGTCTGCCCGTCCACACTTGGGTCTGTCTGCCCGTCCACACTTGGGTCTGTCTGCCCGTCCACACTTGGGTCTGTCTCCCCGTCCACACTTGGGTCTGTCTGCCCGTCCACACTTGGGTCTGTCTGCCCGTCCACACTTGGGTCTGTCTCCCCGTCCACACTTGGGTCTGTCTGCCCGTCCACACTTGGGTCTGTCTGCCCGTCCACACTTGGGTCTGTCTGCCCGTCCACACTTGGGTCTGTCTGCCCGTCCACACTTGGGTCTGTCTGCCCGTCACACTTGGGTCTGTCTCCCCGTCCACACTTGGGTCTGTCTGCCCGTCCACACTTGGGTCTGTCTGCCCGTCCACACTTGGGTTTCGTCCACTTGGGTCTGTCTGCCCATCCCTTGGGTCTGTCTGCCCGTCCACACTTGGGTCTGTCTGCCCGTCCACACTTGGGTCTGTCTCCCCGTCCACACTTGGGTCTGTCTGCCCGTCCACACTTGGGTCTGTCTCCCCGTCCACACTTGCATTTCTCTCCCCGTCCACACTTGGGTCTGTCTGCCCGTCCACACTTGGGTCTGTCTGCCCGTCCACACTTGGGTCTGTCTCCCCGTCCACACTTGGGTCTGTCTGCCCGTCCACCCTTGGGTCTGTCTCCCTGTCCGGGTGGTACCTTCCCGAGGAAGGATCTGTCTTTTAGCTTTTTTAGTTCTCTGTTGCTTTTTGTGGTGCCAGTGTGTATAGTTATTATCTCTTAAATTTATTTTAGTTCTATCTCTCGAATTATATATAAAGATATGCCTTGAATTGGATTGCTTTATTTATTAATACAGTTATACTGTTAATAAAAATTTCTTCGTAATGATGACTAGACCTTCTCGTGGACAGACTATCATGATTTTTATAGCTTATAGTTTGATAGAATAGACTGAATACATTATCATGAAATTCTCATTACTCATAATTAATTTTTTGTAACTTGTCATAAAAGCAGAATTTTAAGTTTTTGCTTAAAGGTAGGCTATAGCTTCTACACGTGGAGATTAATTTCAAATTTTCTCTCCCTCATCTGCACTGGGGAGCAGCTCTGTAAAGCCTTTAGAAAGCTCGGCCTGCCTGTTCTTTGTCCCTGGGAGTCTCACTATGCCTCACTGAAAGTCCAGCTAAGTGCCACGCGGTCCGTGGAAGTAACCCCTCATCGTGGGTGACGGGCGAGTGTACCCCTCCACTTGCGCGCTCACTGCTTAGCTGATCGAGTTCCATCCTGGAATCCTTAGCTGCTCCTCATACTTCTCAGGAAGGATCTTGACATGCACTTGCTCTGTCCGCACCGGTCCCCTAACTCTCCTGCCCTGGGTCGCCGGGAAGAGGAGGCGTCCCCCAGACTCTTCTCCATACTGGGGCCAAAGCCATCTTTCCCTAACGAGGAGTGTGGGCCTCAGAAAAACATCTCAGTAGATCCCTCCGGGGGTCTTTCTTACCCTCGGGGTAAAGTCTGCTCCCCTTAGTGGGGCTCCACGTGGTCACCGTCCACCTCGTTGGTCCCTCTCTCGTCCTTGGCAGCATGTGTTCTGTTCCCGGCCACAGTCAGTCACTCCCAGGTCCCTGAAAGCACACGCGCTGCCTGGACTTGGCTCTGCTCAGGGCTCCTGTGTCCCGGGTGAGGTGTGCTCACTCTGGGGTCCCTCTCACGCCCACGGGGTCCAGGCTGCGGGGCCCCGATGCTGCTCCCACCCACGGTGTTTTCTCCTGGGTCGGCATAGCCCGTCTCCCCACGCTCCCTGGGGGCCAGCTGGTTTTCTGTGGTTGTCTAGTCCCCACCCAACTCTACCAGGCCAAAAGCTGGTGCATTTAGAGCTGAATCAAAATAAACTAGTGTTTTGTCAACCTCAGAGAATTACTTTCTCTGATTCCAAACAGGATTCCTTAGTTCCACTCCCGTTTAGTGATTCCACAAGTATACATACCCACACTCACAGAGGAAGCTTTTTTACTGAAACAGAACACAGTAAAAACTGCACAAATCATTTTCAACACGAGTTTATCAAGTAGACCTGGTGCCCAGGGTGGTGAGAGGCAGACCTCCCATTGCAGTGGCTCAGGGTGGGAGAGAGAAGCCCAGGCTGCTGTTGGCCTCGCACAGAGTGGGCACCGTGGGACGGCGCCGTTGACGTGGGGGGCGGGGTGCGCCCGGGGAGTGGAGGCCGTGAAGGCCTCGTCCGGTGGCCGTGGGCTGGAGCGGGTCCGGGGCAGAGCGGGGGACCACCGTGGGGCCCTCTGCTGTAAAGCCAGCAGCACGCCTGCCTGGCAGCGCCACGAGCCCCCTTTGAAGTCCGTGGTCCTGAGTTCAAAGCGAGAACAGCTGGCGCGCTTGTCTGTTCTTCTCTGGTCTCGTTTGGCTCCTGGGTGGAGTGTAGAACAGACAGCGAGTTGCCCTGAACAGGTCTGGGGTTTGTCGGGTGAGTGATGGCAGCGAGAAAGTGGCAAGGCAGGAGTTAGAGTGGTGGGAAATTAAAGGAAGTGATAGATGCTAAAGACGAACAAGAAACCCAACGTGATGGGGTTAGTGGGTTGGAGTTCTGGGAGACGTGCAGAGTCCCGCACTTGGCTTTGAGGTCGGAAGGTCGGAGGCGTGAGCCCGGGCTGGGATCCAGGACAGGCCATCATCACCCAGAGGCCGGGTGTCGGGTGCATTGTCCACGTGGACAGTCACATTCAGAGTCACCAGAAAGGCAGCGGTGGAGAGACAGGTCCTTTGCCAAACTCTTCAGTGACCAGAGGGGAGCCAGCCAGAAACGTCCCACTGGTGATCAGGATGGGGCAGGGTGTCCCGTGGCCTGGGCCTGGGAGGAGCCGTGCGCCTGGAAGAAGCAGACCAGTGATCTGGGGGTGGTCGTGAGGGGCAATGACGGCCACCTGGGCGGCAGCTCCAGGAGGCGCCCGTGGGAGGGGAAAGGGCCTCCCTCACAGTGCTGTGGGGACAGTGTCCTGGGGACAGCCAGCTTCCAGGTGGGGCATGGACCGGATGTGGCCGCCAGGAAGGAGACTGAGGATTTCATGAGCATCGCATGTTGAACAGTAATTTTTAAAAATACATGGAAATAACTGTGCTGACAAAGGAACTTGGCATAGTGTAGAAAAGGATAAGGAAAAAAAATTACCTCTAGTTGCACTGGCCCAGAGAACGATGTTGCTATTTTTGCGGGCATTTTTGGGGGGCTTTTTTCTTTTATTCTGAGCCTATTTTTAATGGTATTTTTTGCTTGTATTACATATATTCTGAGTAAGAAACCTTTTTTATCTTTTTCTGATTGTAAACTTATAGTCAGTGTAGGACGCTCGGAAAATGACGAGAAGTGGAAAGAGATAAAGAAAGAAAAGCCAGGACGACCACGCGGGATCACGTGAGCGCTGGCAGCTGTGTTCCTGTGCGGTCGTTTTTAGGCTTTCTCTTTTCACTGTTAAATTTCTGCTGGTCATGGAGCTCGGTCAGCATTCGAGTGTTCGCAGGTTCCAGGCAAACGATAGTACAGTTATTATTTTAAAGTTTCGAGATGATTTCTTAGCTGGCAAGGTCTTAATCGATGACAATAAGTGGCAGCAGCTACAGGGCGACACTTCAGAATGATTTGTCCTCGTGAAGTGTGGCTTTCTCTGTGTAGGAGGGAAAATACACGCAATGTGTGTGTGTGTCGTGGTGTAAGTGTGCACGTGTGGACACACAACGTACTCTCTGTTTGTGTTTGTTCATCCCCGAATGTTGCCTGGGTCTCTCTGGGTGGCGTAGTTTTAAAATGATGCTCTTTTCTAAAGTCTTCAAGGCAAACAAGCGTTTCCAACTTGGCCTTCAGAAAGTTTGTTGTTTTTTTTTTTTAATGGCGCGCAATAAAGAACAACGTAAGCTTCAAAGTGCGAAATAAAGACATTCCAGTCGTCTGTTTTACTGTTGGAAAGCAAACTCCTTTTCTGAAATGGTCACGTGATAACAAAACAGTCTCAGAATCACTGTGAGCCGTTTTTCAAATCCAAAGCTGATTTTAGGAAATAATAGATGAACGTGCTTACGGACACAACAAAACAGAGGGTAAAGGGGTAATTTCCCCTTACCCTTAATTTGTATATGCATTAGCGATTCATCCCGAGCAGGAGAAGTAATGGGCCCCTTTCTGCATTGTTCGGAGTTAAATGTTCTCAACTGAGAATGTGCAGTGGAAGGAGACGTCTCCCCCTCTCGGCTGCCCGCCGACCTCCCACTTTCACTTTCTCAGTGAAAGTGATTTCTTAGAAAAGGGCAGTTTTCCTCTCCACATTCTCTAACAAATGGTGATGTAAATTGCTGGGTAACACTGGGTTCCACTGTGGAGAATTTTGCTTCCCCAGGAAAAGCAGCAGATTGAGCACCGATGAGAGCGTGATTCTCCTTTTCTGGAAACACATCCTCTTGTTAGAGATCTCTAAAGGGGGCAATGGTCTTGCCCCCTTTTCCCATCAGTCGCTGAACTGGAGTGGAAAGCAGATGCATAAGTTAGAGGGCAGACCTC